GAGGCCTGCTGCGGGGAGGGACGCCCGCGGGAGTTGGAGCTTCGCGGGACAGGAAAGGGGCGGATCGCTTCGGTGAACCCGTAGGCGAGCGGGCACGATGCGGCGAAGTCAATCTCGGGTGTTTGAGGATGGGGGGGAGGACGAGAATCGGAAGGCGCAGAAGAAGTGCTGCGTGTACAAGTACATCCGCGTGGGACAGAGTCTCGGCGAAAGATTCCGCGGCAATCKCATGTTGAAGTGCGTTTTCTGCGGCCACGAGTTCCAGGGCAACCAGTTCGTGGCGGCGCGCCATTTCCGCTAGGGCAAGGGATGTCCGGAAGTGACAGAYGAGGCACTTGTCGACATCCACTATAACAGTGAGTACAAGATGTCCGACAAGTTCCTAGAGCAGATACAACAATTCGAGGAGCTTCACGGTGCGGCGCCTGCGATGGATCCGCGACGGGACGAGGAGGGGGAGGGAGAGATGAGGGACGCGGGGGAGCAGATCGACGTGGACAACGACGTCGAGGAGGTTACACGGGCGGGGTCGTCAGGGAGGGAGCGAGGGAAGGGCGTTGCCAGCGAGCTGGGGGGGCAGCAGAGCCAGTACTTTGCGTCGGCGCACGTGTCGGCTCGTACACGGGCAGGTGCGGATACGGCTGAGGCGGGTGCGTCTGCGGGGAAGAGGAAGGAGAGAGAGGAGGGGGACAGACCGACGGCGGCAGTCGCAGCACAGAAGAGGATGAGACAAAACACGATCACGGAGTCATTCACTTCAAAGTAGCAGATGGAGTTCAAGAAGAAGTGGCTGCGGTTTGTGTACAGTCAGCGCCTGGCATTCAACGTCTTCCGGAGCGAGCCATGGTTGGACGTCGTCCGACAGTTCAGGGACTTGCCGGGGCCAGTGAAGGTGTTGTGGCCTTCAAAGCATGAGATCACGGACATAGAGACCATTGTCCACACGGCGGACGATGTGGGGGCTGATCTCGCGGAGGTCAGGGCTCCTTTCTATGTCACGGGGGCCACCATCATGTCAGACGGAAGGAAGTCACGCGATGCTAGACCCATTGTGAACTTCCTTGCCGGCGGGTCGTGTGGGGTGATGCTCGTCCGGACGATGAACAGGGAGGGTGAGCGGGATGATGTGTTGGCGCGCTGGATCAAGGTGTTCGATGACTTCTCCCCTAAGTGGGTGAACGGCACCTGCACCGACTCCGCCTCGGCGTACGTCGCCGCGGCGAACATGCTCCAGGGGCCCCAGCAGAGGCCGGAGCATCAACGGATCACGTCGCTCCCATGCGCAGTGCAAGTCTGCAACAAGATGTTGTCAGACATTGGCTGTTCGGGCCCGTGGTCCAAGGACATCATCGTGAGGGGGAGAGCGATGGCGCGCTTCATTAAGGAGCACGACGCCGCTCTCCATATCTTCCGGGGGGAGAGCACTCAGATGGGCCTCATCTATCCTTGCGAGACACGTTTTGCATCCGTGTTCGCGATGGTGGAGCGTTTGCTGACACTGAGGTCAGCTTTGGAGAGGACCGTGGATGGCGATACTTGGGGTATGGTCCCTTGGGACCATTCCGTTCGTCAGTTGGCTAGGTGGGTCAGGTGGCAGGTGCGACATGGCAGTTGGTGGGATTCCATGGGCATCTTGTTCCGTATCATGGAGCCTGTGTACGACCTGCTGCGCAGGTTGGACCGCAGAGGGCTGCACATGTCGCGGGTGGTTGAGTGGACCCAGGATCTGGCACGCCAGGTAGCAGAGGAGGTTTGTGCACTTCCGGCAGATCTTCTACACTACATTGTGCAAAGGGTGCAGGCTCGATGCGCTCACATGCTGGAGCCGACGCACGTCGCTGCTCACCTTCTCTGTCCCAGCCGGCAGGACTTGCGGTACTTCGAGGGCGTGGTCAGTGAGTACGACGCGAGTTTGGTGAGGGAGGCGGAGACTTACATCTTGTCGCAGACAGGGTTCAGTGTGGCGAGCCGCAACTACGAGACCGCATGTGCACAGTTGCGCGACTTCCACACACGGAGGGGGACGATTGCTTGGGGGGGGAGATGGAGATAGAGATGCACAAAGGTGCAGGGGTGATGCGAAGACGTACGAGTCCGGGTGTTGGTGGTCGCGGTACGGCCAGTGCGCCCCGTAGTTGCAGGTTATCGCTCTTCGTGTGATGTACATGTGGACGTGCTCCTCTCCTGCGGAGAGGAATTGGGCCGTCC